AAAGGAATTGTGGAATTTAGGGGATATATGACATCCATCATCCTTTTAAAAAAAAAAAACATTTTTCAACGGGGACCGTTTCAGTCATACATTTCATTTATTATTAGATTTATTTTATTTCATGTATTTATTATTAGACTTCTAGGCGTCCCATCTCGCCGAGGCACCCTGAAGTAGCTTAGCTTGCAAATTCATTGGAGGTGGAGAGAATTAAATTATTCTATACATTCCAAAAAGAAAAGTAAAATTAAAGTTGATTTAGGGGCAAAAAAAAAAGTAGCAAGAGGCTCCATTGGTTAATCCCTACTGCCATCTGGTGGGTGGTTAAAGAATCGCAAGGGGGGATGAGACTGACCAATGGGAGACGTTGAAAAGCAGAGATGAGGTCATCCAATCTCAGATTTTTGCATTTTGCAACTGAAAGTGGTATAATCCATTGTGTGTTTCCGAAGGAGAAAAACATTGTTTAATGGCAGGACATCTATTTTAGTGCAATATTTCCCAAATTCAACCACCACCAATCTCAGGAAGGTTTAGTCTTAATTCTGGTCAGCCAGAGACTCATATCTTAATTGCTGCAATATTGGGGTATTTTATCATCTATGGCAGCTTGTTCCACACTAATTTAAAAAAAAAAGAAAGAATAGCAGAGATCTAGCGATTCCCAATCTTTTGAATCTTAATTCTCCCCGGTTAAAAAACAATCAGAACAGAACAGAATCTCAGAGTTGCTTAAAAACACAACCGGGTGGAAACTAATCAAGGAGAAAAACAACCTAAAACTGAGAAATTTCCTGACAGAATAATTAACCAGTGGAACAACCAGAGGTCTTCCAGTCCACCCCCCTACTCAAGCAGGAAACCTATCCCATTTCAGACAAATGGCTGTCCAGTCTCTTCTTTAAAACTTCCAGTGTTGGAGAATCCACAACTTCTGGAGCCAAGTTGTTCCACTGATTAATTGTTCTCACTGATAGAAAATTCCTCCTTAGTTCTAGGTTGCTTCTCTCCTTGATCAGTTTCCATCCATTGCTTTCTTGTTCTTGCCTTCTCGTGCTTTGGAGAATAGCTTGACTCCCTCTTCTTTGGGGCAGCCCCTGAGATACTAGAAGACTGCTATCATGTCTCCCCTAGTTTCTTCTTTTCATTAAACTAGCCAGGCCCAGTTCCTGCAACTGTTCTTCCTATGTTTTAGCCTCCAATCCCCTAATCATCTTTGTTGCTCTTCTCTGCACTCTTTCTAGCATCTCAACATCTTTTTTTTTATATTGTGGCGACCAAACCTGCATGCATTCGCTTCCATCCATTTCTTCTTCTTGTCCTGCCTTCAGGTGCTTTGGAGAATAGCTTGTCTCCCTCTTCTTTGGGGCAGCCCCTCAAATATTGAAAAACTGTTATCATGTCACCCCTAATCTTAGAATTAGAATTCTAGTAATTCTTAATTAAAAACCTTTTCGTGAAATCTTGCCTGACTTGAAGTTCTGGAGAATGGAAAGAAGCGTTAAAGAGCATTTTGGTCGATTCTTATAAAAAGGGTTGCCCTTGTGGACATGTTTACAACTAGGGGTGGAGTGGGGGTTGCTTACTCCACAGTGCAACGCAAAACACACACATACAGGTAGTCCTCGACTTATGACCACAATGGGGACCCGAATTTCCATTGCTAAGCGAGGCGGTTTGTTCAGCGAGTTGGGCCAGATTTTATGACGTTTTCTGCCCTGGCTGTGGTGAGAGCGAATCACAGCAGTTGTTAAGCAAATCACATGGTTGTTAAGTGAATCCTGCTCTCCCCCCTCCCCATTGACTTTGATGGAAGCTGGCTGGGAAAGTTGCAAATACTGGCCGCAGGACACTGCAACAAATGCCAGTTGCCCAGTGCTTGAATCTTTGTAAGGACCAGCTGTAATTCTTTTTTTAGTGCCGAGGTTAACTTCAAAGTTACTAAACGAATGGTTGTAAATCGAGGACTCATTTCCTGGCTCTGTTTATCTGCTATTGGCTTGCCCTGTCAGCGTTTATGGTTCTGTATTCAGGTTATTGTTTCCAGTTTGTTTATCTGGTGTTAATCCCTGCTTATCTGAAGATTGATTGCATTGTTTGGCTTTCTTTTTGCACTTTTTTGGTTGCCTCTTTTGAATGGTAGGTCAATATAAACAGAGCAAACTCCGCTCCCTTCTAGCACTGATGATGTTCCCTAGTTGGGTCACGAAACGTCTGCAAGAAAATCACCGAGCTCAGAGACCACCAAGGAGCCCCATGGTCCTCCTCTTCCTCCCGCTCCATTCCATGAACCTCACTCCCTTCTAGCACTGACGATGTTCCCTAGTTGGGTCATGAAAACGTCTGCAAGGAAGCAGCCAAGCTCAGAGACCACCAAGAACCCCAGAAGTGGGTCCGCGGCATGCCAAAGACCAGGCCATGCAAACAAGCGAAGCCCCATCCATGGGATACAGGCGGCACGCAAAGCCGTCTCCTCCATCCGGTCCATGGAAAATCCTCTCTCCACAGTCCTTGGTGCCCCAAAAAGTCAGGAGCCGCTGCTCTAAACCAGGGCCTGGAGGAAGAATCAGGGATTCAAGTTTTTGAACATGGCTTGTGCAGGAGGAGCTATCTTGGATATAGATGTCCATAGGGAGGTTAAAAAAAAAACTCAAAATGGCAGCTGTAACTGGTTGTTCCAAGGGGCAAAAGCTGTAAACTTTTGACAGGGTTAATTTCTTAGGTCCCCGTTCCCGCAGCTTCATAAATGGGATCTGGATCAGGTCTACTGATCAGGTCTACAGGCTAAGCCTCAAACAAGGGGGGGGGGGGTGGACTAGATGATCTCTGAAGTGCCCGCTCTTTCTACAATTGCCAAAAAAAAAAAAACCACCCATTCAAATGGGTGAGGTGCTTCCCTGCCACCCAGTCAAGTTTCTGAACGCTTTGTTCTTTTTTCTTCCGCGGGTGGCCTCCTCCGTCCGTTTCAACTGCTCCGTTTTCTTTCGGACAAGACCCACCAGGACTTCAGAGGGACATCGCTGGAAGCAAAGGCTTCCCTTTGCAGCAGGCCGGCCTTCTCGCTTCTTGTTGTTTTTTTTTTGTTTTTTTTTGAAAGAACGTTAATAAAACGCTGCCAAGAGAGCCAATCTTGAAGGCGTCTCGATTCTCTCTTGCATTGCATGGAAATGCCGAATATCCAGAGAAGGCGGCGATCAGCTGGATCCAAGAGCCGAAATTTGCAAGCTTGTGATGAGAGACTTTCGTGGATCTCAGACCCAGGTGGAAGGAGGTGTGTGAAAACATCCACCATGGAAGGACAGGAGGAAAGCAGACCCCAAAAGGACGTCAGAGTCTAGTGATTTTCAAACCTGGCCACTTCAGATGGGTGGACTTCCAACTCCCAGGATGCTAGCTGGGGAATTCTGGGAGTTGAAGTCCACCCGTCTTAAAGTACCCTGACAAGGGAATTATGGGAGTTGAAATGCACCCAAGTTAAAGGAAGGTGGCTGGGGAATTCTGGGAGTTGAAGTCCACCCAACCTTAAAACCTGTCAGTTTGAAAATTCTGGAAGTTTACATCCACCCATCTTGAAACATGCTGGCAGGAGAATTCTGGAAAGTTGAAGTCCATACATGTTAAAAAGCATGTTGGCTGGGGAATTCTGGCAACTGAAGTCCACCTATCTTGAAGCAAGCTGGCTGTTAGGAACCTGTCCACCAATTAGTTGGGTTGGCAATGTATAAACCAACAATGTATGTTTTGTAGCTTTAAGACAAAACCACTGTATTGATTTGTACTGTGTTCCGATTGATTGTATTGCTGATTGCCGTAAGAGGGAGCTAGAGGTCATGGCTTGTTCCCTCTGACATTCTGTTGCTATCTAAGCTGTGCTTATACTTTGATATCTTTGTTTACTGTAAATGACAAAGGCAACCGGTAAGAAGACTTTGTAATAGGATATTCTTTGGACTGTTAAATGTATATGACCTGGTCCGTTTACTGGACTGTTTCTTAACTATTTCTTAAAGTAAACTTTAACTCAATTCAGTGTAGCTGTGTGTGGCTGAATAATTATTCATAACTACTCTCATAAACGTTTCCCTGTGCATATCCTTGTTACTCAAGGGTTATTCTGTACATATCGTAACACTGGCTACGGAATTCTGGGAGCTGAAGTCCATGCATCTTAAAGCACCCTGACTAGGGTATTCTGGGTGTTGAAAATCCACCCATCTTAAAATGGCCGAGTTTTAAGAAACACTGCTCCCCAAAATCCATTTTGCCCTCTGCTTTTTCCCCATTCCCTTTCAAACTGTACATTTTTAATCTTTTTTTCTTCTTCCGAGTACCGTGCCCACCCACTTAACACCTGAGTTCGTCCAGCCTGCCCACGCAAGAATGAATGCTGGCCAAACTAAATACAGATAAACCTCAACTTACAACCGTTCAAAGTGGGGAAAAAGTGACTTATGACCGTTTTTCCACACTTGCAACCATTGCAGCATCTCTACGGCTGTGTGGTCATAATTCAGATGCTTAGCAACTGGTTCATATTTATGACGGGTTGAAGAGTCCCCTTTTGTGACCTTCTGTCAAACCAAGTCAATGGGGGACACCAGATCCACTTAACAACCATGGGACTAATTTTAACAGCTGTGATTCCCTTAACAACGGTGGAAAGAAAGACCATAAAACGGGGCAATACTCGCTTAACAACTATCTTGTGTAGTGACAGAAATGTTCAGCTCAATTGTGGTTGTAAGTCAAGGACTTCCTGTATTTACCTGTCCTTCGCGGAAAACTTTCCAGATCATCGTTGATCGGCTGCCCCAAAGATTTTTCCCATCAGCTCAATACAGTAAGATTTATTATTTGTGGAAAAATGGAATGTTTCCTGCGAAACAACTGAGTGGTATCCCGGTATGAACATACCCAGAGCCGGGGAGGAAACATACACACACACAAACATACACACACACACACCCAAAGGAAGAAAAAAAAACCACGGTTAAGTTCACAACATCTGCAAGCTACTGTGGTGGGAATTCTGTTTCAGCAACAACAGTTCAAAGGCCGTATAACCAGGGGAGCAAAATTCCACAGCGTGGGCCACAGCGTTGTGACGGAAAAGGAGAAAAACAAAATCTTCAATAACGGCGAGCGAAACGTGGGTCGCCCGGCGAGGTTGTTCTATCCTGGCTTGCAAAACCGCCTGGCATGCTGGGTGCCTGCGCAACTGGGTTCTGCGATCCGCCTTGTACAAATTCTCCACGCCTGTGTGGACAAAAAAAAAGAAAGAAGAAAAAAGAACAACTGCTTTAGTTCTGAAGTCTCTCTCTCGCTTTCCTTTAGACCTTTAGGGGTAGTCAACCTTTTTTTATACCCTACTGCCCACTTTTGTATCTCTGTTAGTCATAAAGTCTTCTCTAACCGCCCACCGGTTCCACAGTAATGGTGATTTATAAAGTAGGGGACAAAACCGCTACCGCCCACACCATGAAAGCTGGAACGCCCACTAGTGGGCGGTAGGGACCAGGTTGACTACCACTGCTTTAGACCAAGGGTCTTCAAACTTGGCAGCTTTAAGATTTGTGGACTTCAACTCCCAGAATTCCTGAGCTAACATGACTGGAGGAGGAATTCTGGGAGTTGAAGTCCACAAGTCTTAAAGCTGCCAAGTTTGAACACCCCTGGTCTAACATGGGGTCTTCAACATCAGCCATTTTAAGACTTGTGGACTTCAACTCCCAGAATTCCTGAGCTAACATGACTGGAGGAGGAATTCTGGGAGTTGAAGTCCACAAGTCTTAAAGCTGCCAAGTGTGAACACCCCTGGTCTAGCATAGGGTCTTCAACGTCAGCCATTTTAAGACTTGTGGACTTCAACTCCCAGAATTCCTGAACTAGCATGACTGGAGGAGGAATTCTGGGAGTTGAAGTCCACAAGTCTTAAAGCTGCCAAGTTTGAAGGCCCCTGCTTTAGATGAGGATGAATTGACAGGTCGGTCTAGCAGTGAAAGGACCAGACTAGAAACCTGCAGGTGGGGAGTTCTAGTCCAGTGGTGGTGAACCTTTTCGGCACCGAGTGCCGAAACAGGAGCACGTGCACATCCAAAAGGCACCAAGCGCCGAAATGCGTGTGTGCACGCGCACACGTCAGAAACCGGAAGAGCAGCTCTCGGTGCACGCATGCTGCCTCCATGCACACAGGCACGTTAGAAGCCAGACCAGGTAGCCGCCCCGCGTGCGTGTGCCATAACCTGGAAGATCAGTGGGTTACGGCTAGAGTGCCCGGAGAGATGACTGCATGCCACTTTCGGCACATGCGGCATAGGTTCGCCATCACGGTTCTAGTCCCACCTTAGGGACTAGAAGCGGAGTGACTCTTAGTCAATCATCAGGAGACTGTGAGTTCTAGTCCTGCCTTAGCATGGAAACAAGCAGGGTGACTTTGGGCCAATCAACAGGAGACGGTGAGTTCTAGTTCTGCCTTAGATAAGGAAATTGGCTGGGTGACCATTAGGTGATGAGTTCTGGTCTAGACTAGATCTACCCAGCAACCATTCTTTATATGTTTTAGCCTCCAGGCCCCTAATCCTCTTTGTTGCTCTTCTCTGTACTTTTTCTAGAGTCTCAACATATTTTTTTACATCGTGGCGACCAAAACTGGCTGCAGTATTCCAAGTGTGGCCTTACCTTCAAGGCCTTATAAAGTGGTATTAACATTTCAGGTGATCTTGATTCTCTCTGTTTACGTAGCCTGGAACTGTGTTGGCTTTTTTGGCGGCTGCAGCACACGGCTGGCTCCTATTGAAGTGATTATCCACTAGGACTCCGAGATCCCTCTCACAGTTACTACTATTGAGTGAGGTACCACCTATCCTACGCCTGTGCATTTTTCTTGCCTAAATGTAGAACCTCACTTTTTTCACTATTGAATTTCACGTTAGTTGGCGCCCAGGGTTAGAAATCTTCTCTCCCTGGAATGAAGTATTTTTGCAACATCCCAGACTGCACATCCCTAAGCTAACTTCAAAACATTTGGAGCACATCAGGGAGCCAATTTGTGCCCGAGACAGGCAGCTGGATGGGCCCATTTGCTGAGAGTAAAACTACAAAGCATTTAAAAAGTAATTTCAAGTTGCAATGAGAATGAGACGATTTAATAGCACATTTCAGGACGATTTTAAAACGATGTATTTCCTAAGCAAACTTGCATCCCCAAAAACATACTATTCCGAAATCTGTCCCACTTAAAAGGTGCTTTTCTCTCAGCCTGGATCCTTTTCCTCCAAAATTCTGGATTAACCATCGCCCTTCTCTTTCCAGTTAAAAGAAGAAAAATGACAGCATTTTTGGCCTGTTTGGTATATACTAAAATAAACCATACCAGTGTAAATGAAAGCCAGGCCATCAGAGTTAAATGATGGGCAACTTGAGAACGGAACAATGTTTCCACCCCCAGATAGGAAATATTAATATTCAATGTGCCCTATCATAACAGAATCACAGAGTTGGAAGGGACCTTGGAGGTCTTCTAGCCCAACCCACTGCTCAAGCAGACTTTACTGGAGGCTAAAACATATGAAGAACGGTATTACCCCATCAGATAAATCATCATTCATGAGCAACCTAGTTTGCACTTGGAGAAACCCAGCGAGGTTAAGAGTGACCCTGAAGGTCTTTAGGGCAAGACCACTAAGCACCCTCATCATTTTCCCATACAGGTAGTCCTCGACCTACGACCACAATCGAGCCCAACATTTCCACTGCTAAGCAAGAGTTCAGCCCGTTTTACGACCTTCCTTGCCACCGTTGTTAAGGGTAAAATCCCTGCGGTTGTTAAAGTTAGTCAGGTGGTTAAGGGAATCCGGCTTGCCCATTGATTTGGCTTGTCAGAAGGTTGCAAAAGGGGATCACATCACACACACACACACACACACACACACACACACACACACACACACACAC